TGGGGCGCTTACTGCGAAACTTCCCAGGACCAGTCGCCAGGCACGCCAGGTGCTGCCGGTGATTTCGGATGGAAAGTCCTCACTTCCGACGATGCGGAAAAGAAGAAAGCGAAGCTCGCAGCAGAGTTGGCCAACGGCAGACTCGCGATGATGGCCATCATCGGTATGTTCTTTCAGGTGGGACTGCACGCCCTGCACACGTGAGTGGCATGATGCCAGAGAGAACTTCTTGTGAGTTGTAGGGGCATCTGTATGTCATGTTCTGATTAGCAATGCAGGACGGTTTGACCGGCAGTGCTTGGGGTGACTGGGCCAACTACACTGCCTCTCCGCTCCGAGCGTTCGAGAACGAGCTTGGCGTTCAGGATCCCGTCGGATTTTGGGACCCGGCTGGCTTCACCGCCGATGGCAGCGTGGAGGACTTCAAGCGCCGCCGCCAGACCGAGATCAAGCATGGCCGCATTGCAGCTCGGATGTGTTTGATTATATGGAGGCTAGACAACATGTAGAATGCAGAGCCATCTACCCTCTACCATTTTGCTGACCTGTTTGTTCTGGTCGTAGGCCGGTCACTCAAGTAACTCCAAGGCCATGCTGGCGGCAATGGGCTACATCACCCCGGAGCAACTCACTTGAAGATCTTGAAGAGGGGCAGTGATGGGCACATGAGAAAGTTGGTAGTTTGTGTGTGTGTGTGTGTGTGTGTGTGTGTGTTTGTTTGGCTTGTGCTGTTTGTGTGACCTGGATATGAGTTAATGGCATTCGTCTCGACATTTTTTGGTGGCGTTCTTGTTTGCGTTTTTTGTGTGCAACCTTTGTCATGCTGCTACCAGTTGACGTGCTTTTTGCATGGTTGTGTGCATGGCTTGCAATCGGTCGATATGCTGAGGATCACTGGCAAGTTCCCTGGATACTTGAGCCCATCGGCCGGCTTGAAGTTCGCGGATGTGCCAAACGGCCTTGCGGCGATCTCCAAAGTTCCCGCCGCAGGTTGGGGTCAGATCCTTGCCTACATGGCCTTCTGCGAGGTCTCCCAGGACCAGTCTGCTGGCACGGCGGCTGCCGCAGGCGACTTCGGCTTCAAGGTCTTGACCTCCAGCGACCCGGCTGAGAAGACTAAGAAGCTCTCGGCGGAGCTTGCGAACGGCAGACTTGCGATGATGGCCATCATCGGCATGTTCTTTCAGGTGGGGTTATCACATGCGTGTGCCGTTGTGATGACTTCGTGATTCATGCGAGTTGTTGAAAGAGGATTGCAAGTTAACACTTGAGTACAGCATGTGTTTCTCGTAAATGTGATGTTTGTGTCATAGGACGGCCTGACCGGAAGCGCCTGGGGTGACTGGGCCAACTACACTGCCTCTCCGCTCCGAGCGTTCGAGAACGAGCTTGGCGTTCAGGATCCCGTCGGATTTTGGGACCCGGCTGGCTTCACCGCCGATGGCAGCGTGGAGGACTTCAAGCGCCGCCGCCAGACCGAGATCAAGCATGGCCGCATTGCAGCTCGGATGTGTTTGATTATGGAGGCTAGACAACATGTAGAATGCAGAGCCATCTACCCTCTACCATTGTGCTGACCTGTTTGTTCTGGTCGTAGGCCGGTCACTCAAGTAACTCCAAGGCCATGCTGGCGGCAATGGGCTACATCACCCCGGAGCAACTCACTTGAAGATCTTTAAGAGGGGCAGTGATGGGCACATGAGAAAGTTGGTAGTTTGTGTGTGTGTGTGTGTGTGTGTTTGTTTGGCTTGTGCTGTTTGTGTGACCTGGATATGAGTTAATGGCATTCGTTTCGACATTTTTTGGTGGCGTTCTTGTTTGCGTTTTTTGTGTGCAACCTTTCTACCAGTTGAAGTGCTTTTTGCATGGTTGTGTGCATGGCTTGCAATCGGTCGATATGCTGAGGATCACTGGCAAGTTCCCTGGATACTTGAGCCCATCAGCCGGCTTGAAGTTCGCGGATGTGCCAAACGGCCTTGCGGCGATCTCCAAAGTTCCCGCCGCAGGTTGGGGTCAGATCCTTGCCTACATGGCCTTCTGCGAGGTCTCCCAGGACCAGTCTGCCGGCACGGCGGCTGCCGCAGGCGACTTCGGCTTCAAGGTCTTGACCTCCAGCGACCCGGCTGAGAAGACTAAGAAGCTCTCGGCGGAGCTTGCGAACGGCAGACTTGCGATGATGGCCATCATCGGCATGTTCTTTCAGGTGGGGTTATCACATGCGTGTGCCGTTGTGATGACTTCGTGATTCATGTGAGTTGTTGAAAGAGGATTGCAAGTTAACACTTGAGTACAGCATGTGTTTCTCGTAAATGTGATGTTTGTGTCATAGGACGGCCTGACCGGAAGCGCCTGGGGTGACTGGGCCAACTACACTGCCTCTCCGCTCCGAGCGTTCGAGAACGAGCTTGGCGTTCAGGATCCCGTCGGATTTTGGGACCCGGCTGGCTTCACCGCCGATGGCAGCGTGGAGGACTTCAAGCGCCGCCGCCAGACCGAGATCAAGCATGGCCGCATTGCAGCTCGGATGTGTTTGATTATGGAGGCTAGACAACATGTAGAATGCAGAGCCATCTACCCTCTACCATTGTGCTGACCTGTTTGTTCTGGTCGTAGGCCGGTCACTCAAGTAACTCCAAGGCCATGCTGGCGGCAATGGGCTACATCACCCCGGAGCAACTCACTTGAAGATCTTTAAGAGGGGCAGTGATGGGCACATGAGAAAGTTGGTAGTTTGTGTGTGTGTGTGTGTGTGTGTTTGTTTGGCTTGTGCTGTTTGTGTGACCTGGATATGAGTTAATGGCATTCGTCTCGACATTTTTTGGTGGCGTTCTTGTTTGCGTTTTTTGTGTGCAACCTTTGTCATGCTGCTACCAGTTGACGTGCTTTTTGCATGGTTGTGTGCATGGCGTGCAATCAGTCGATGATATGCTGAGGATCACTGGCAAGTTCCCTGGATACTTGAGCCCATCGGCCGGCTTGAAGTTCGCGGATGTGCCAAACGGCCTTGCGGCGATCTCCAAAGTTCCCGCCGCAGGTTGGGGTCAGATCCTTGCCTACATGGCCTTCTGCGAGGTCTCCCAGGACCAGTCTGCTGGCACGGCGGCTGCCGCAGGCGACTTCGGCTTCAAGGTCTTGACCTCCAGCGACCCGGCTGAGAAGACTAAGAAGCTCTCGGCGGAGCTTGCGAACGGAAGACTTGCGATGATGGCCATCATCGGCATGTTCTTTCAGGCGGGGGATTATGACATG